TGAGGGTGGCCTGGACTAGATGATAAACTAGTCAGAACACACACAATATTCCTCAATTAAGTTTGCCATCTTATATGATAAACCAAATTCATGATTTGTTTTGGAGAAAAAATCAAAATGAATTGCTGAGAGATCTGACGTGGAAGATAAAGAAAAATGAGGAATCAAGGTGAATTCTTAGATTTCTGGTTTGAAAAACTGGTTGGATAAAGATGCCACTGGAAATCAATGATTCTGTGTAGACATTTTAAGTTTGAGATACTATGAGACGTTGAAATGGAGATACCATGGAAGCAGCTGGATATGTGAAGCTGGGGTTCAAAGGGATGGTCTAGACTAGAGCTATCAGATTTAGGATGGTACTTACATCTGCAAAATGGATGAGATCACTTAAGCCCTCTTCTCTCTTTCTACTCTTTCCCTAAATAATCTTTATCCAGGGAAAAGTGATGCAAACTATCCTATGACCATTTTTTCTTTCTTTGTGTGTGAAGCTGATGGGATTAACAGAGAGTAATTAGTGAGTTTTTTTCTTAAGCAAAGTCTATGTGTCTGTTTCTAGAGAAAGGCTTACCTATATATAGAAGAAAGAAGACCTATACAGTGTCTATAGCTATGGCATTAAGTTTCTTTTTAATAATTATGTATAAGATTCCTGGTCAAAATCCCTCTATTTTGGGATTTTGGTGTCACTGTGGTATCTTATGTGTCATATCCCCATCATACCCACCGGGCTATGAGTCACACAAAGACTCTTATACTAGTCAAAGCCCCCACAGTAGCATAGGCTTCCCAGGTCTGGAGTTTATAGATTGTTTAGAAAGTATGTGAGAATTTTTACTTTCAGGCACAGGGCCAGCAGCTGTGCAATGTGTTTCAATTTTCTATTCCTGAATAACTAATTACTCTAAAATTTAACAGCTTAAAACAATAAACACTTATTATCTCATACCATTCCTGAGAGTCAGGAACCTGAGAGTGAGTTAGTTGGATGGTTCTCAACTAATGTTGTAGTCAAGATGCCAGTTGAAGTAGTAGTCATCCAAGGGCTTAAAGGAAGCTGGAGAATCCACTTTCACATATTTGGTGTCAGGACACGTCAGGTCCTTGCCACATGGACCTCTCCATTGATCTGCTTGAGTATCCTTACACCACGGCAGTTAGATTCCCCAATGAGCAATCCATGGGAGATGGCAAGGAGAAAGCCACAATGCCTTTAGTATCCTAAGCTTAGATGTCACCCACCATTATTTCTGACACATTCTATTTCTTGGAAATGAGTTACTATGTATAGCCACACTTAAGAGGGAAATAAATTGGGCTCCATCCTCTGAAGAAAGGAGTATCAAAGAATGTGTGGAAATATTTTAAATCACCACAAGGTAGCACTTGGTAATACAATTAATAGGGCACACAAAAAGAGACTTGCCCTTTGGTATTCTGCAATTTCCATTTCTTTGTGATAAAAATAATTAAATATGGTCTTTGCCCAAAGAAGACAGTCATTCCAAATTCTGGCAGGCCTTAAGGCACAGGACCTACAAAAGACACCATGAGCTGATCCCAGCCTATCTCTCCAACCTTATCTTTCATCTTTTATACTACAGCCATCTTGACTACTTGGAGTTCTCCAAATCCACCATATTCTATCCCACTCTGGGCCTTCACCTGTGCTTCAAATACCTCTACAGCCCACTCTTAGCGTGGCTTATTACTATTTATTCTTTGCAATTAGGTGCAGGAGCCAGTTTCTTCTGAAAAGCCTTCTCTAGACTGGGTCAGATACTCATTTTACACACTTCCACACACTCTCTACACATATTTGCCAAAATAATATTTATCATTATATTCTAATTATTTGTTCCATTTCTGTGCTCTCTGCTCCCAGATTCTGAACTTTTTTTTTTTTTTTTTTTGAGATGGAGTTTCACTCTTGTTGCCCAGGCTGGAGCGCAATGGCACAATCTCGGCTCACTGCAACCTTCACCTCCCAGGTTCAAGCAATTCGCCTGCCTCAGCCTCCTGACTAGCTGGGATTACAGGCGTGTACCACCATGCCTGGCTAATTTTGTATTTTTTTAGTAGAGACAGGGTTTCACCATGTTGGTCAGGCTGGTCTCGAACTCCTGACCTCAAGTGATCAACCCACCTTGGCCTCCCAAAGTGCCGGGATTGGGAGGCATGAGCCACCACGCCCAGCCATGAACTTCTTAAGAAGATTGTATCATATTCATCTTTGTATTCTCAATGACTAGAATAGTGACTGGCAAATGGAGGTTGTTCAATAAATGTTGTATGAATTAATGAAGGAAGGAATATCCTAACGAATGAATAAATAGCCTATTTTGAAATTTTGCTCCTGAATAAACTCTTATTCAAGAAAGGGGAAAGGAATTCTCCTTTGCATCTCTTTTCTGCTACATGCTCCTCTTCCCAACTCAGGTAAACGCCAGTGCTATTATTCCATTTCTATTGGTTTAAAGAGGTTTTTTATAGGTTCATCACTATTCCTAACAGTATTTTAAAGTAACACGCATTCTGAATTCTATAAAACCCATACACGAATAAACATTCAACAGAATATAGCTTGGTGATAAGTTTGTAAACTCATATACTTAAATATATAATAATACATTTATAATTTCCTATGTTATTTTCAATTACAGACTTGAATGTTTCTTATTAAATTTAAGCTGTAGGACTTTGGAAACAAATTGGCAACCCAGGTTCACATGTTGAACATCTCTATTAGTCATGGGTTCTCCAGAGAAACAGAACCAAGAGGGTGTGTGTGTATGTGTGAGTTTATTTGGGAGAATTAGCTCACACTATTACAAGGCGAAGTCCCACAATAGGCTGTCTGCAAACTGAGGAAGAGAGAAACCAGTAGTGTTCAGTCGGAGTCCAAAAGCCTCAAAACCAGGGAAGCTCACAGTGCAGCCTTCAGTCTGTGGCCAAAGGCCCGAGAGCCCCCAGCAAGCCACTGGTGCAAGTCCCAGAGTCTAATGATGGAAGAACCTGGGATCTGACGTCCAAGGGCAGGAAAAGCAGAAGGAAGCATCTGGCACCAATAACGGAGGAAGCCAGAAGGCTCAGCAAGCAAAATTAGCCCACCTTCTTCTGCCTGCTTTGTTCTAGCTGTGCTGGCAGCTGACTGGATGGTTCCCACCCACATTGAGGGTGGGACTTCTTCTCCCAGACCACTGACTCAAACATCTATCTCCTCTGGTGACACCCTCGCAGACACACCCAGAAATGATACTTTACCAGCCATCTAGGCATCCTTCAATCCAATCAAGTTGACATCTAATATTAACCATCACAACATCCTTCCTTTCCTAATTCCCCACAATGCAACCAATATAAATTCTATACCATTAGTCTTATCCACATAACTAAATTTTCAAGACATCTCAAAGGAAAATAGAACAGTTGAGAGTACAGTGAGGACAGGTAACACTTGGTCACCATCCACAAGGACAAAGCCCACCATGAGAAGTAAGTAAAGGAATTTATGCTGATATCAGAGCTTGATGAACATTTCTGAGACTGCACTGAAGATATGCCAAAGAAATAACTAAAATAAATCCTACACCAGCTTGAACCTCTAACCTACTGACAAATACTACAAGGAAAAATCATGCTGTGGCCCAAACACAGCCTAGATACAAAGGCTATAGGAGGATAGACAGCCTGTAAAGGTGTTAGCACTTGCCAAGTAGCTTGCTGGAAATCTGACTGCCACCTCTGAGCTGCAATATAACAAGAGATTTCTCAAACACAAGTGATTCACTGGTCAAATACTTGCCTCCCTCTGCCAATGGCTTTGTCCCTAACTTGTACAAACGTTTAGATCTCTACACTGCCAAAGAAAAAAATTACAATAAATCCAAAGGTTTTTCTTCCCTTGTTACTAAGGACTGAATTGAAAAATACACAATTTGGCAATATATATATTCTGAGAACTGATGTCTGTGTCATTTAGATATAATGTGATTTTGATAAATAATTATACATATGACATGCAGGTACATGAAAAAAGCATGTAATAAGGCAATATTGCTAATTCAAATGTCATTTTATAAAACGTGAGTATATACGTTCAGAAAAAAAAGTCTATCACTAGATCAATGACTTCCAGAGGCTAGGAGCAGGGGATAGAACTTATACAGCAAAGGGGCATGAGGGAAATTTTGGGGGTGATGGAAATGTTCTATATATTGATTTGAGTGGTAGTTATGCAGCTATACTTTTTAAAGGGTGAATTTTACTGAATGCAAATTATATTTCAATAAGCCTGATGAATCCTTCATAAAAAAACTCCACATGGCTATATACCAAAACAATAATAGTAACTTCCTATGGTAGTTTAGATTTATCATTCAGAAAAGATTCACTCCCTTCCCCTTCCTGCCTCACTTTAATGGAAGTCTACTTCTCTGTTCCATTATTGTTTTTGGGGTTGGCCATGTGACTTGCTTTAGACTGATGGAAGGTCAAGTATACTTCCTTGTCCATTGACTTTGGGTTTAGTTGTGTTTTTGCAAGCTTGGGCTCGCTCTCTTGCATCTCTGTCAATACCATGTGAAAAGTTGCCCCATGTGGCTGCTTCATCCTGAACCTCAGAATGTATACACATGAAGCGGATCAGAATCCTCTCCACAACAATAAACAAACCCAGCCAGTCCTACAGCTTGAAGAAAAGCTGCTTACCTGATTCCAGCCTAGATCAGCCAACCCCCAGATGCATGAGAAGTAAACATGTTTTTTTTTTTGTATGCCACTAGATTGCATGGTTGTGTATTATGTTGCATTATTATGACAATAATAACCAATATACAATCTCTGGGTAAGAAAGTGATAGTGATTTTTAACCTCCTTTTTGTACTTTTTCTACTGACTAATTATTTTAGCATGTATTACTTTTATAATCAGAAAAAAGCTACATCCATTATGAAAAAAAAGAGAAAGGTACAAAAAGGTATTTTATGTATACATACTGTTTTAGATGATCTTTGGCAAGAGCCACCCTTTCTCTGTGTCGTTTTTCTGCTTTTTCTTGTTCTTCTTTAAAAGCTTTTTCAATGTTGAGTTTCAATTGTTCCTCCCATTTTTTATCTGATTTTATCTTACTCTTTCGGAATTCAATCTGGGCATCACGTTCTTTCATAACTCTACTAAGAAGAAGTCCTGACTACAAAAGAAAAATTAAAGTACTTTAAGAAAATGATGCCTAATTATGTATAGATATGTCAAATATATATAAAAATACAAGAAAACCCAAGTAGTACATGAAAGTTTTTCACTCTTTCTGTCTGGTAAAATTGACATTGCTTTGCATTTTCAATGGCCTTTTTTCTTTTTCCTTGTTTATGTATTTCTTCTTCCAGATCAAGAATTTGTCTTTCTGCCTCTATTTCTTCATCACGCTTTTTTTTGGCTTCAAGTTTCTGTTCTTTCATCCCCTGTAAAAAGACAAACACAATCTTTTGTTTTCATTTTTCAATTTAATTTTACTACAATTTAACATAATATTATAATTTGAGCTTTTATTGTTTTTATTGTATTTATAATATTTTATTAATAAATAAAATATGAGGCTACATTTATGAGCTTATTTTTTAGACTGACTCTTTTAGGTAGATAACACATTACATGGTTCAAAATCCCAAAATATTATAGAGGCATATGAACTTCTCCTTTTGTATTAATCTGTTCTCACATTTCTATAAAGAAATACCAGAGACTGGGTAACTTATAAAGAAAAGAGATTTAATTAGCTCACAGTTCTGTAGGCTGTACAGGAAGGATGATGTTGGCATCTGCTCAGCTTCTGGAGAGGCCTCAGGAAACTTACAATCATGGTGGAAGGCAAATGGGGAACAGGCATGTCATGGCCGGAGGAGAAACGAGAGTGGAGGAAGGAGGTGCTACACACTTTTAAACAACCAGATCTCACGAGAACACAGTCACTATTTCGAGGATAGTACCAATGGGGATGGTGCTAAACCATTCATGAGAAATCTGCCCCCATGATCCAATCACCTCCCACCAGGCCCCACCTCCAACATTGGGAATTACATTTCAATATGATATCTGAATGGGGACACACATCCAAACTATATCACCTTCCAACCCATCTGCAATCTCCTCTCATTCTAAGATAACTGCTATTAGTTTCTTTTGTTTACTTCCAACGTTCCTCTCTACAGTTACACAATAAATATATATCTTACTACTTTTGCTCCTTTAAAAAACCAATAGTTGTATATTTTATATGTTCTTCTATAACTCTGAGGCCTCCATTCCTCATGTCATATGAGGTCTTCCTTTTCCTTATTGGTTCTATTTCCTATGTCTTAAGAAAACTTTATTTACTTTGATATTCTGAAGATATTCTATTATTTATGTTAAAAGTTTTAGTGTTTTGCCTTTTAAATTTAGGTATTTAGTCTGGCTGAAGTCCATTTTTCTATATTCTGTACTATTAAGATGTAATTTAATCTCTTTCATATGCCAATTATCCCAGTATCAGTTGTTGAATTCCCATCTTTCCTTTCCTTTCCTATTTGCAATGATATTTTTGTCATATGTCAAGTTCCTATATATAACGTGGGTTTGTTTCTAAGTTCTCTCTTCTGACCTATTATTTTGTCAACCTCTGTGTCTATATCATAGTTTTTACTACTACGGGTTTAGTAGCAAGACAGTCTTGCTACTGGTAAGATGAATCATCATTTATTATTCATCTTTAATACCCATGGAGAGTTAAAGCAGTATATGTGCTACTTCTGTATTAAAAAAAAAAAAGGATATATCCCCATCCCCTATCCCTTTATGTACCAGGGACCTTTTTCAAATCAGGTTTTCTATATTATAATTTACATGTGCCCTTTTAGTGTAGAGTTTACAAATGCATACAGTCACTTACAAATAGTTCCATCCTCCCAAAGAATCCCATCATGTCTCATTATAGTCAACCACTTCCTCTACCTGTAGGCCCTTGCAACCACTGATCTGTTTTCTTTCCCTATAGTTTTGCCTTTTTCAGAATGTCGTATGTTACATATATTAGTCATCATATAATTCTTCCCTTTTTGAGAAAAAAAAAAGAGAATTAATAAATTATGACCATCATTTCTAAAGCAAGGTACTATAAGTTTTCTATGTCCTTTCCCAAAGATAAATAATGTATACTGCAACAAAGTAAGGAAACATGCAATGTTAAAAAGAAAAAATCATTGAGAACTCTCTAGACTGAGTTTATGCCTATCTGTAGTTTTAATAATTCTATCATAAAACAAACATAACCCTGCCACTCAGTGCCTCAAACAATGGAGGAAAGTAGGGTGGAGGAAGGGATTACCTTTTCCCAGCATTTCTCACCAGGCAAGATAATAAAAGGAGTCAGGGGACACCTCCCCATTTCTTTTTTTTTTTTTTTTTTTTTTTGAGATGGAGTCTCGCTCTGTCGCCCAAACTGGAGTGCAGTAGCCGGATCTCAGCTCAATGCAAGCTCCGCCTTTCAGGTTCACGCCATTCTCCTGCCTCAGCCTCCCGAGTAGCTGGGACTACAGGCGCCCGCCAACTCGCCCGGCTAGTTTTTTGTATTTTTTAGTAGAGACGGGGTTTCACCGGGTTAGCCAGGATGGTCTCGATCTCCTGACCTTGTGATCCGCCCGTCTCAGCCTCCCAAAGTGCTGGGATTACAGGCTTGAGCCACCGCGCCCGGCCGACACCTCCCCATTTCAAAGAAGTTTCCCATTCATGCATATGGAACTAAACTGGGCTACTGTAACCCTCAGGTAGAGGGAGGCTAGCAGATGCACGGGGCAGGGCACAGCAAAAGCACTATGCAGTTCCAGAGAGAGGAAGAGGCAGGCAGATAGACAAATCAGAGGCAAATGATGAGAAGCTGCCTTGGTTCTTCACAGTTTCCAGTACTCTGGCTTTCTGTGCAATCCTGCGTCATAACAGTAAACAGTACGACTCTGATAATCAAACTAGATAAAGATATTTCGAGAAAATTATGGACCAATATCCCTCATGAACACAGATACAAAAATTAATAACATTTTAGCAAATTAAATCCATCAAAAGGATAATACATTATGACCAATGGGGTTTTAGCCTAGTAATGAAAGCTTGGTTGAATATTTAAAAATCAATCAATGTAATTCACAATTTTAACAGACTAGAAAATAAGAACCTCATGATAATCTCAATAGACATCAAAAAAGTACTTTAAAAAGTCTAACATCCATTTCTGATTTTAAAAGAACCAAAACACTCAACAATTTCGATACGGAAGGCAACTTCAACTTGATTAGGGACATCTACAAAAACCATACACTTAGCATCACAGTTAAAGGTGGAAGAACGAGTACTTTTCCCCCAAAGTCAGGAATAAGAATATCTACCTTCACTACATTTATTCAATATTATATTGGAGCTTCTAGCCAGTGCGGTAAGTCAAGAAAAAGAAATAGGCATTCAGATTGGGAAAAAAAAAAGAATTAAAACTGTCTTTATTCTCTGACGCCATGATTGTCTATGTAGGAAATCTGATGGAATCTACCAAGAAGGGACTAGAACTAATAAGTGAGATTAGCCATGTTGCAGGATACCAGATCAATACAGGAAACATTTACTGTATTTCTAAAGCTAACAACAGCAGATTGAAACTTTTAAAAACACCATTTACCGTAATATTAAAAATACAAAATATTTAGGGATAAATCCAACAAAAGATGTATAAAACCTATATACTGAACACTATAAAACACTGCTGACAGAAACTAAGACTTAGGCTGGGCGCGGTGGCTCACGCCTGTAATCCCAGTACTTTGGGAGACCGAGGTTGGTGGATCACCTGAGGTTGGGAGTTCGAGACCAGCCTGACCAACATGAAGAAACCCCGTCTTTACTAAAAATACAAAATTAGATAGGCATTGTGGCACATGCCTGTAATCTCAGCTACTCAGGAGGCTGAGCCAGAAGAATTGCTTGAACCCCGGAGGCGGAGGTTGCAGTGAGCAGAGACCTCGCCATTACACTGCAGCGTGGGCAACAAGAGCAAAACTCCATCTCAAAAAAAAAAAAAAAAAAAAAAAAAGAAATTAAGCCTTAAACAAATAGAGTATGTTCATGGTTCAGAAGATTCAATATTGTCAAAATATAATTATCTCCAAATTGATCTAGAGATTCAACACTATCCCAATCAAAATTCCAGCTGGCTTTTTTACATGAATTGACAAGCAGATTCTAAAATTCATAACAGCCAGGCACTTGGGGAGGCTGAGGCTGGCAGATCACTTGAGGTCAGGAGTTCGAGACCATCCCGGCCAACATGGTGAAACCCCATCTCTATTAAAAATACAAAAATTAGTCGGGCATGATGGTGCGGGCCTGTAGTCCCAGCTACTCAGGACGCTGAGGCAGGAGAATTGCTTGAATCCAGGAGGTGGAGGTTGCAGTGAGCCAAGATCGTGCCACTGCACTCCAGACTAGGTGACAGAGTGAGACTCCGTCTCAAAAAAATTTTTTTTTTTTTTTTTTTTTTGAGACGGAGTCTCGCTCTGCCGCCCAGGTTGGAGTACAGTGGCCGGATCTCAGCTCACTGCAAGCTCCGCCTCCCAGGTTTACGCCATTCTCCTGCCTCAGTCTCCCGAGTAGCTGGGACTACAGGCGCCCGCCACCTCGCCCGGCTAGTTTTTTGTATTTTTAGTAGAGACGAGGTTTCACCGTGTTAACCAGGATGGTCTCGATCTCCTGACCTAATGATTTGCCCGTCTCGGCCTCCCAAAGTGCTGGGATTACAGGCTTGAGCCACCGCGCCCGGCCCAAAAAAATTTTTTAAAAATAAAAAATTAAAATTAAAAAAATACAATAAGATGAACAAGGAAACTCTAAAAATACAAAAAATAGGGGGGGGGGAGAGAGAAGGAGGAGAGGAGAAGGGGAAAGGAGGGAGGAGGAGGAATGGCATGACAGCGGAAAGTGAACCGTAAAAAAAAAAAAAAAAAAAAAAAAAAAAAAAAAAAAAAAAAAAAAAAATCATAACGATGTACAAAGGACCTAGAATAGCCAAAACAGCTTTGAAAAGGAACTGATTTCAAGACCTGTTATTAAATCTGCAGTTATCAAGACAGTGTATTATTGGAGTAAACACAGATAAATAGAGCAATAAAACAGAATAGATAGTGCAGAAATGTCGCCTGAATATATATACGCAAGTGGATTTTCAAGAAAAGTGCAAAGGCAATGTAGTGGATAAAGAATAGTATTTTCAATAAATTATGCAAGAACAATTGGATCTTCATGCACAAAAACAAAAAAAAATCAATATCTCACTGCATATAAACATATATTTAAAATGGTTCATAGACCTATACAGGAAACCAAAAAATATATATTTCTTTCCGACTTTTATTTTAGGTTCAAGGGTTACACGTGCAGTTTTGTTACATAGGTAAATTGCATGTCATGAGGATTTGGTGTGCAGATAATTTTGTCACCTAGGTAATCAGCATAATATCCAATCGTCATCTTCCTCCCACCCTCCTCCATCCTTAAGCAGGTGCCAGTGTCGACTGGGTGCAGTGGCTCACGCATGTAATCCCAGCACTTTGGAAGGTCAATCCTGATCATGAGGTCAGGAGATCAAGACCATCCTGGCTAACATGGTGAAAACCTATCTCTACTAAAAAAAAACACAAAAAATTAACAGGGTGTTGTGGCAGGTACCTGAAGTCCCACATACTCGGGAGGCTGAGGCAGGAGAATGGCGTGAACCTGGGAGGCGGAGCTTGCAGTGAGCAAAGATCACGCCACTGCACTCCAGCCTGGGCAACAGAGCAAGACTCCATCTCAAAACAAAACAAAACAAAAAAGGTGCCAGTGTCTACTGTTCTCTTCTTTGTGTCCATGTGTACTCAATATTTACCTCCCACTTATAAGTGAGAACATGAAGTATTTGGTGAAATCTAAAATTTTTAAACTTCTAAAAGAAAACATAGGAGAAAATCTTTGTGATATTAGATTAGGTAAATATTTCTTGGATAAGCCACTAAAATAATGATATATACAAGAAAAATTGATAAACCATACTTCACTAAAAGTAAAAACTTTTGCTTTTCAAAAGACACAGTAAGGAAATGAAAAGTCAAGATATAGAGTGGGAGAAAGTATTTTCAAGTCAAATACCTAATCATGAATTTGTATTTGGAATATAGTTTTAAAATTATCTAAGCTCAATAATAAAACTAATTTTTAAATGGGAAAAATATTTGAATGGATACATCACTAAAGAAGATATACTGGTAGAAAATAAGTTCAGGAAGAGACATTCAACATCATTTTTACTTAGAGAAATTCAAATTAAAACTATAATGAGATATTTCACACCTATTAAAATGTTTATAATTAAAAAGACCAACTATACCAAGTGTTGTTGAGAATGGAGAGGAAATAGAACTCTCAAAGATTACTATTGGGAATGCAAAATTACAACTACTTTGGATAACAGTTTGGAATTTTCTTACAAAGTTAAATATACACTTGTCATAAAAAACAGCTATTCTACATGAAGATATTTACTAAGAGAAATGGAAGTATATGTCCATACCTAGACTTATACACGAATGTTCATAGTAGCTTTGTTTGTAATAGCCAAAAAGGTAAAGAAACAGCTCAAATGTCAACATTTCATTGATGTCAACCATCAAAAACTAACCAAATAAACAAACTGTGGTATATCCATACAATGGAATACTATTCAGCAATAAAAATTAACAATTGATACCCACAACATGAATGAATCTCGAAGTAATTGTGTTGAATGAAATCTGTAATAGGAAGCAGATCAGTGGTTACCTAAGGATCCAGAAGAGGAGCAGGGAGGAAGGAGAGGGAATAAAACAGGTCATGAGGAAATTTTGAGGTGAAGGACATGTTCATTATCCTAACAGTAATGATGGTTTTGGGGGTTTATACATATGTCAAAATTATAGGATTGTACATTTCAAATATGTCCAATTCATTGTATATCACTTATACCTAAATAACACTGTTGAAAGTGTGTTTCGATGCATTTTTATGAAATTTTACATGTAAAAAAAATTATAAAAAGAAGCATAAGAGTACTAAGAAACAAGAGTAAGTCTTCAGTGCATGTGTACTCCTGGGTGGTTAATACTTACTGCATATGTATTAGTCCAGTGTTTTACCACCTCTTGAGATCGCAAATGCATTTCTTTCTTTGCCTTTCTTTCTGCACGGAGGCATGCTGCTTCTCTTGTCAACCTGTCAAGGCTATCTTGAATCCTTTTCCACTCATTGTGTGGAATTATGGTGACCTGCTGGAGATCTACTTTGCTAGGCAGAAGAGGTGGATAGAGAGCTTGATCTTCTTCAGAGTTTCTTATTTCTAATAAATTGTAAAAAAATGATTATTAAAGACTTACAGGAACAGTTTAAGTGATATTTGTCTCAGAAGTTCTAATAGTGGCATGATAACTGGAAATTATTTCAAATACTTAATTTACTCTTGTTATCCCAAGAACAGCTATGATTAAGCGAAAAAAAAAAAAAAAATACAAGGCCTTGAAATCAGAAGGCATATATTTGACTACTTTAATCACTTCCTTACTGTGTAAACTTGGGCAAGTCATTTAACTTTTTGGAATCTCAGTACCCTCATCTTTAAAATAGAGATCTCCTAGTAATACCTATCCCAACAGCTTGTTATAAAAGCATTTTTCAAAGTTAACAAAGTGGCAGTTTATAAATGGATAACTTTGTGGGTGTTCATCTTTTGGGGTTGTAGGCATTATGACTGACTCTATTCAACCTCTTCCCACTGAGCAGCAGCAACATAATTTGGAGAACTCACTATAGTTCCAGGGTGGGCCGAATTGGTTTAAGAACACTTGTATCTCCATTGTCAATCACTATTTCTCTAAAAAGCAAAGAAACAGGACAAAAGGTTTACTTGCAACTTTTAGAAAAGTTCTTCCTTGTTCTTCTGGGAGAGACATCCAAAAGACTCTCAAGCTAAGTATGAATAAGGAAGAAAGACAGACAGATAACTAGCTACAACCACAAGAGAAACCAGCCTTGAATGAAGCTATTACTGCAAAGAAGCTGTTACTGCAAAGAAGAAACAACAGGAGAATCTGAGGCAATGATAATCTCATTATTCTGCTAATCAACTCAACCTGAAGCCTGGCATTCCTGTTATAAAGTGAAGAAAAGGTCCTTATTTTTGAAGATGATTGAGTTGGGTGTTCCATTATATGAATTCAAAGCATCTTAAATGACACAGTGGAACTCATAATAGATCTCCTTGGAAAAATGGTCCTACCCTTTTAATCAATCAAGTTTCTTAATTATTAACAGCCAAACTTACTCTAACTAGTTTAGGCAGAAAAGAAAAGGAATTAATTAAGGGGCATTAAGTAATGGACTCAATCTACTAGAGAGCCATAGTCATCCTTATAAGCTGTATATACAAAACATCATACAAACCACAACATGGGATTCCAGTGAGGGCCCATGGCAACTGGCTTTGTGTAGGCATCTCGACTTGCCCCATTTACAACTTGCCCCACTGGAAACCATATACTGGAATACTTGAATCTTCACCACTGTTGCCTCTGAAATTGGTACACTTTTGTTGCCATTTTCTACACACACACACACACACACACACACACAAACTGTTTCAACATGCTGTTTGATTCCTTATATTACTCTCTTCAGAATATAAATCTGGCATATATAAAATTGATTGGATGAGTCTTTGTCCCATGCTTGCCCTCTAATTGTATCGGTAGCTCAAAAAGTGAATTTTGTCTTCTATCTTAAGGAGGTAGGGCATCAAAGGAAGGAAATTCACCAAAATAGGATAGGCATTTGAACAATGATGGGTGGCCATAGGCATAACAAAGGTAGGATAGCAGAGTGGGTAAGAGTGTGGATTCTGGAGTCAGACTACCTGAACTTTTTCTGAACACACCATATGTTAACTATATGAATCTAGATAAAATTATTTAACCCTTCTGAATCTGTTTCCTTAATTGCAAAATGGGGTCATTAACAGTCTCTACTGGATGTAAAGAATTTAAGACTAGCATCTGGTACATAATATGTTCTCAACAAATATTAGCTATTATTATTTTTACTATTAGTATGAGAAGAATGAAACAAGTAGAGAGAAAGGCAGAAGCAAGAAAATCACATAGTTCCAGAAAGAGAAAGATACTGAAAGAAAAGCCGTTAGGACCAATTAAAGTCTTCTTGGGGTTTAAATTAAGGCAGGTAGGGGTGAGAACTTGGTGACTACCTCTGTGGTTGTGAGTTTACAACCACAGGCACTATCTTGCCTACCACATACCAAACCTCTGCATGCAGAATAAAACCAAACAAAGCTGACTTTATCATGACTCTTTAGTTGCAAATAATACTATCTTTAGTTGCAAAGAGTATCATCATGATTCTTTAGTTGCAAATGACTAATCTAATTCACAGTAGTTACAATAAAAAGGAGAATATTGTGTCTCCCATATCTGGGGATTGCGGTGTAACTTGATTCAGAACACTGTTCTACTTAAGAGTCATGACCAATACATTTTTACAGCCTTGTAACAAATGTCCTTTATTTTGCCTAAACCAGCTCAATTTGGCTTGTGTTACTTGCAACCAGAAGCTAACCAAACAATGGCCTCTAAGTTAAACCATCTGCCTTTTGATTAACAAATTGCTAGGCATGTTAATATCTTTGTCTGACCCAAGAGTCATTCTAAATTTAATTCACTAAAATTCTAAAGAGGGTCAATATAGTACATGGTCCATTCTGGCAGGAGCTGCTCCCCACAAAGTATACAGTGGTAAGTGGGCCTTGGCAGTGGTGGCAGGAGAGCAGGATGTCAGAAAGCTATGCAGTGCAAAGTGTGATCCTTCCTCTTTGACATCTCAAATCTTTAGTAGAGTAACTGTGTTCACAGGATATTTTATTCAAGTATATCTTTTGATGGACTCTGATACAGGAACAAACAAAGAGAACCACCACAAATGCAGGAATAGAGAAAAAAGAAAGCCCACAGAAAGCTTGGGAAAGGCTTTTTACTATCTCAGGCCACTGAAGTTGGGGCAAGTTCCCCATATCTTTGAAGATCAGGAGAGCCCTGGTTGAGATCAGAGCTATAGATGGTTTCATATATCCCCACTTTAATCCACTGGTTGATGTAAAATTTAGTTCTTAGAGGGCAATCTTACTTCCAAGATTTCTACCCCACAGTAGCTCTCATACAATGTCAGTAGAGGCTGTTAGAGAAGTCGAAGAAGGGCAAACCACAGTTGAATGAAGGGACATGAAAGACAGAGACAGATGGACAGAGAGAGAATATAAATAGGCAGACTCGCAAGCAGGAGAGAGGGGACAAAAGCAGTGGCAAGTTACCTAAAAGTGTCTAAAATCAGTCCACCTGCCTGCCATATTGACACATTTTCCATGGATTAGATCATCTTTTTATTGAGTTATAATACACATAAAAATCCACCACTGCAAACAGTAGCATTCGATGGTTTTTATTCTATTCTCAAAGCTGGGCAACTATCACTAATATCTAATTCAGAACATTTTCATCACTCCAGAAGGACACTCTATGCATTAGCAGTCCTCTCCTCCTCATAGGTCCTGGCAACACTAATCTACTTTCTGGCTCTATGAATTTGCCTATTCGAGACATTTCATGTGCATGGAATCATACAATATGTGGCCTTTTATATCTGGCCTCTTTTACTCAAATGTTTTCAAGTTTCATTCACATTGTAGAATGTATCCATACTTGATTCCTTTTTGTTGTTGTTGTTGTTGTAGAGATGAGTCTGTCTCCATTGCCCAGATTGGAGTGCGGTGGCACAATCTCGGCTCACTGCAACCTCCATCTCCCAGGCTCAAGCAATTCTCCTGCCAAGCCTCCCAGGTAGCTGGGACTACGGTCGTGCACCACCACACCCAACTAAATTTTTTTGTATTTTTAGTAGACATGGGGTTTCACCGTGTTGGCCAGGCTGGTCTCAAACTCATGGCATCAAGTGATCCACCTGCCTTGGCCTCCCAAAGTGCTGGGATTACAGGTGTGAGCCACCACGCCTGGCCCTAATTCCTTTTTATGGTGAGTAATATTCCATTCTATAGATGTAGCACATTTTGTTTATCCATTATCAGTTGATGGACATTAGGGGTGTTTCCACCTTTTGACTACTATGAATAATTCTGTTACGAACATTCACATGTTTTTGTGTGGATATATGTTTTTCATTATCTTTGGTTATGCTTAGGAACAGAATTATACCTCCATATTTAACATTTTGAGAAAGTGCCAGATTGTTTTTCAAAGTCACTATGCTATTTTACATTTCCACTAACAACATATGAAGGTTTCAATTTCTCTGCATCCTTCCCAAAATACTGTCCCTTTTTTTCATTCATCCTAGTGGGTGGGAAGTAGTTTCTCACTGTGGTGTTGATTTGTATTTCTATAATGGGTAATGAAGTTGAGCATCATTTAATGTGCTTATTGGCTGTTTGGACACCTTGTTTGGAGAAATATAAGTTCAAATCATTTGTCCCTTTTTAAAAATGGGCTTTTTATTGTTGAGTTGTAAGAATTCTTTATAATCTGGATTATAGATTCTTAGCATATATATAATTTGCAAATATCTTCTCCCATTTGGTGGATGTATTTGCACTTTTTGATAGTGTTCTTTGGCCGGGCGTGGTGGCTCAAGCCTGTAATCCCAGCACTTTGGGAGGCCGAGATGGGCGGATCACGAGGTCAGGAGATCGAGACCATCCTGGTTAACACGGTGAAACCCCATCTCTACTAAAAAAAAATACAAAAAAACTAGCCAGGCGAGGTGGCGGGCGCCTGTAGTCCCAGCTACTCGGGAGGCTGAGGCAGGAGAATGGCGTAAACCCGGGAGGCGGAGCTTGCAGTGAGCTGAGATCCGGCCACTGCACTCCAGCCTGGGTGACAGAACGAGACTCCGTCTCAAAAAAAAAAAAAAAAAAAAAAAAAGATAGTGTTCTTTGATGTATTCATACTGAAGTTTTTAATTTTGATGAAGGCCAAATCTATTTTTCTTGGGTTGATTGTGCTTTGGGTGTCACATCTAAGAAATTGTTGCCTAATCCAAGGTAATAAAGATGTATATATAAGTTTTCTTCTAATAGTTTTATAGTTCTAGCTTTTATATTTAGTTATATATTTCATTTCAAACTAATATTTGTATGTAGTGTGAGGTGTATATTAATTTGGGAGTCGAAATTCATTATTTTGTATATAGATACCCACTTATCCCGGCACCATTTGTTAAAAATTCTACTCTTTCCCCATTGCATTAACATTCTTGTCAAAACCC